AAAGATGCCTTGGTCTACTAGTGCACCTGAAGAGGCAACAGAGACAGAAGTGTTATCTGTGATATAATGAGAGTAAGAGTGTGAAACAAGGTTCTATTACAAATACTGATTTGTCCAAACCAAATAAATAAAATCTGGGGTACTTTATAATGAGCGCACATATGCACAATCAGTACTTGGATTTGCAAACTGGGTTTACTATATATTACTTATCTTCAAGGAAGTGATTAACATCAGGTACAAAATCCTACTGCGAAGTTTGAATTGCAGCAGTTTTTTCGCTAAGTGAAAACTATCTCGTGCAATAGAATCACAGAGAGATAATGTAAAGATCTCATCTGACTGCTTCAGATTCTTTTGTGCCAATTAATCTCAGCTTTCAAAGTGACTTACCAACCACTCTAGTGTTGTAGTAATCTGGCAGCATTCTCTCACACAGGGCTACAAGGAGCCAGAAAGCTTCTTCTTCATTACAATACAGAAGCAGTACTGAGGTCACTATGTTCATGGCCTGACAAATATGAAGACAAACATGCACATACATAACCATTAATATTGGATAGAGAGCATATTTAAAAAGCATATTTATTTGCTTTCCGATTTGTCAGGTCCCTCAGAAATAAATTATAAATGAAGAGGGCATTGTATAGCTCAGAATCATATCCTTGGCTCTATACAACTACTTTAAGAAAGTAGGTACGTCTGGAAACCTTAGTGTTAAATATTAAGCACAAGATAGAAACCTTTGTTATATAATAAATATTTTAATGTATTTTGCAGTTTATAAATGCCACACCCAGTTTTAGATGTAAAATCTAAAGCAACCTTATTTCAACCATAACAGTTTAGAAATTAATCATTACTAATGCAAGCTTTTTTATCTTAAAAGTTTAAGTTATGTAACATCAATCTGTTAATAATCTTGTCAAGATTGTATAAACACCACTGTGCCCAAATATTATGTAAAATTTTATAATAAAGAAACAAGAGATAATAAAACATCCTCCTGAAATTTCCCTGGGGAAATGAAAGAGGAATAGAGAGATTCTTATACGCCCTTATATAATCTCACTTATCCTTTCTCTTCCTCTTTCTTTTCCTCCAGAACCTTTTCAGGGTAGACTCCCTTTTTCTCAAGAAGCACATGAAGATGGAAGGAGTCTACAAAACAGAAGCTGGGGAATCACACAGCCCACAGTTTGCTCAACCATGCCCAAATAGTGGTCTCGGAAAGCAATAATATATTCCTACCCATGAAAGAAGGGAGAGGCTGAGCTTCATATCAAACTATGGCCAAGATGTGAGAAGGAGTGCCATCAAACTACTAGGTAATCTAAAAATATCGCTCCCTTACCTGGCAGTATCCAATTGTAGGATTCCGAAAAGCATATGCTGTTAGTACCCTTCTAAGTGCAGCAATTCCTAGTTCATTCTGAAAGGCAGGGTGCTCCGGCATTGAACGATGCAGGTCTCTTTCAATTTCTTCAGTGGCAAGGCTATACTTTCCCATAGATTGTTTCACCAAATCACTGTAATATCCAGGATGAGTGGCCATCTCATTCCAGGCCCCTGTATTGACACACAAACATTATTTTCCTTTCCTACTGCACTCAAGATGTGGTTCAGGCTGAGGCTTCTACAAAGAAAACATTCCTGCAGGTTATCAAGTCTTTTACAGCTAGTTTACACTGAGGACTAAATGCATGATGTTAATAAGAATGATATATTTAGAAAAGATATTTTAAAGAATAGTACTTTTTTTGCATTCCATTTTAGCAAACTTAAAGAAAAATATTTTGAGGGGAAAAAAAGCCTCACAATTGTCTGAAGCAACTAGCTTAGAACTAAGAAATGCTAGCTCTGGGAACAGTAATTGCTGACTTTTCAGGTCACCTGCAGTTTGGGGAGCAATTTCATTTTAACAGCAGTAGTATTATGCAACTGTGTAGCAGGGGAAAATATTTTCTCCTTAAGTCAGGAATCTATTGTGCACATTTAGCAAGAATGTCACCTGAAAACAGAAGCCACAGTTCTCCACGAAGACTCTCTGGAATTCCTTTCTGCACCAGCTCACGAGTCTTGGCTGTCCGGTACATACACATGCCCCTCCCATATTCAAAAAAATGAATGTTCCAAGATTCTTCTTTCATTGTCTCCTTTGCCTGAAGAGGAAAGGATAGAGGGGAACAGACCATTGTTATGGATGTTGAGGAGAGGTATGATAATTTGGGTGTGATGGTCATTATGAAATGCTGTGACTTAACAAATATATATTTGCATCACAAATATATAATCACAAAGTCGTCAGAATTTTATAACGGTGCAAATACATAATGGTGGCATATGCACGACAGCGCATTCTGACATCATTATGATTTGCTGCAGACACCGCAAGCCGCTGGAAACTTCTGTAGCGCCAAGTATTTTTCTTCTTCCCTTCCAGTGCAGCATTTTCACTCTATCAGTAATTTATAAACATTGATCTCTAATAGTAACTTACAAAAATACTGAAACAGAAATACATGAAATGTGATATCAAAAAGTTTTCCTCTGAATTGATTAAAAAGGAATTAGAGTGCAAAATAGTAGCATGGTTCTTGAACTGTATTATCTAGATTGGCATACTGTAAAATGAATTTGATCTCAATCTATAACTGTGTCAGAACATAGATTAACACTCTATTCCATCTCAGAGGTTAACTTTCGTAGATGTTTAAAATATGGTTGCAAACGTGTCTTAATGAACACATTACTAACAGCTAGTTTGTTTAAGATCCTGGATTAGAAACTAAGAGAGCATGAGTTCTAATCTTCCCTTAGCTATAGAAGACGGCTGAGTGACCTTGGGGAGTCACGCTCTCTCAGCCCAATCCACCTCACAGGCTTGGGGAAAATATGAGAAAGGAGCTGCTACCTTTAGGTGTACAAAAAAGAAGCAGCTTATAAATCTAATGAATTCTTTAATACAAAGTAGCATAATTAACTGAATTTAATTCATCTGTAATACAAAACAATACATCATATCCTAGATTAAAAATAAACATAGTTTTCAAAGGAAAACAAACACCAAGAATCAACTGTTCCTTGTAGCTTTTGCACTATTCGATGGATTGGTTTTAAACAAAAATTCCTTAAACATATTTTTATATGAACAGTTAGTGTTAATACATTTGGTCTTGTACAAACTTTCTTTAGGGTTCAAATGCATAGCCATGTTTCTTCTTACTGATATCTGTATTTGTATTTGTATTTGTCAAATTTGTATAGCCACCATCTCACACAAAATGGCATACAATAAAACCCACTATTAAAACTTTCTGCAAAACCAATTAAAACAGTAAACATAGATTAAAAACAAAACTATAAGCAGAAGAATATCACCATCACGCAAGGTCCTTAACACCAAGGAATCCACAGGCCTAGTGAAAAAAACACTTCTTTTAAGGGCTTTCCAGAAGGGACTAAGGGTTGGGGCTAACCTCCCCTCACAAGGAATGGTGTTCCAAAGGGTAGGTGCAATGGCAGAAAAGGCTTGTCTTCTAGGTCCCATTGCATGTGATTCTTTCACAGATGGGATCCACAGCAGACCTCTCCTGCCAGACGTAATATGACAGGCAGATCACAAAGGGACAATTCCTCAAATTGGCCCCACACTGTATCAAGTAGGGCTGTAAAAGTCCAAACTGGCAACATGAATTGGATTTGAAAGCAATCTGGCAATCAATGTAGAGATATAAAATGTGACCTCTTTAGGGCGTACAGAACGGCCTGTTCCACATTTTACACTGATTGAAGCTTCCAGATACTCTTAGAGCAGCTCCATGTGGAATGCATTAGAACAGTCCATAAGAGAAGTGACTAAGACATGAGTAACTGTGAGCAGGAGCATCAGGATCCAGGAATGAGTGTAACTGGTACAGAACCCAAAGTTGTGTAAACCCCCTCCTAGAAATGACTATCTTCTCCTTGACCCCCAGTTTGCAAGTCGGGTATATCTGGGGCAGTGCCACCCATTCTAGCATCAAAGATGGTAAAGTTTAGGGAGGCCCTAAAAATCAAAGCCACTCAGTCTTGCCAGGATTCATTTAAAGCCTGTTGCTCCCCATTCAGACCTCACAGCCTTCAAGCATTGGGACAGGACATCTACAGCATTGCCTAATTCATCAGGAGTGGAAAGATATAATTGAATATCAGCACACTGATGAATTTCAGTCCCTGATGATGGATGATCTCCCATAACAGTCACATGTAGATGACAGGAGCAGAGAGAGCACTGAACCTGGCAGTATCGTACATAGTACAGGATCTCTCACTTTGGATCAATACTGACTGGTATTGGCCCGAGAAAGGAAGAAAACCAACACAATACTGTGCCACCCATTCCCAATCCCCAGAGCTGATTCAGAAGGATACCATGCTTGATGGTATTGAAAGCCAATAAGAGATCAAATATAGCCAAGATGGATGCACTACCCTCATCCTGCACCCGCCACAGATCATCCAAAAGAGCAGCCAATGCCATTTCTGTTATATCCAGAATTGAAGCCTAACTGAAAAGGATTCAGATAATCCATTTCATCTACAGTCCACTGAAGCTGCTGTATGACCATCTTCTCCATAATCTTACCTCAAAAAGGAAGGTTTGGACATTGGACAAAAATTGTCCGGTATGGTGGGATCCAACAATGGTTTCTTGAGAAAGGGGCAAAGCAACACCTCCCTTAGAGAAGGAATCACCCCTTCTCCCAAGGATGAATTAATCACCATCAGTGCCATAGGGGACTCAATAACTTCTTCCTCACAGGATCTACCAACACTGGCCTCTCCCACCAACCCCTCTAAGTTGGCCGAGGGTTATCCCCATTTCATACATCCCAATTCCCTTCCTAGGTCTCACTAAGGGAGGGCAATTCATCTAGCCATGTAGCATCACCATCAAACAATGTCACAAAGCTGCGACTAGGCAACATGACAAACCCGTACTGGACACCTTTAGTGCTGGTATAAAAAACAAGCTTATTGCCAGGGCCCACACCAGACTAACCAACAGCTGGGTTGCCCTCCATAGAGGACAGATTTGTGGTAAGCACTTTCCAGCAAGCTTCCTTCCAAATAGCTCCAGCAAGCTCCCTTTAGAAATGCCAGACAGTGGGAGCCAGGGAAACATATTATTCCATCTTTTCAAAGCCAGCAACCCAAGGAGAAAGACATTTTCAAGATACATACCGTATTTCTCGGAGTATAAGATGCACCTACCTTTTTTGGTGAGGAAAAGAAGAAAAAGAAATCTCCCTGTCTCTGCCTAAGGGCAATTTTGCCTCATTGCAGCAAACAGCCTGCTTTACTTTCATTTTCATTTTCAGCATAGCTTGATTAGCACAAGGAAAAAAAAAATCTGCTCCAGCAATTTACCAGTTTGCAGCAAGCAGCAGAGCCCTGCGCAAAACAGCTAAGAGCAAATCAGCTGAGAGTCAGGATGCCGATCTAATCAACTTGTGCTAATTAGGCTGTGCTGAACCTGAAAGGAGCTGTTTTTTCTTGCTGTTTGCTTGCAAGGTGGTAACTGCTGCAAGGCAGAGGCCAAAGGGTGGGGACCAGTGGGTGGGCGGGGCTACATTTGATATATAAGACGTACCTAAATTTCACCCCCTTTTAGGGGGAAAAAAGTGCGTCTTATACTCCGAAAAATACGATATATGGTTTTAGAAAATTAAGTTGAAGTTGCAGTAACTCATTTATGTTTTTCACATTTAGATGAATATGTTTGAAATATTTTCCCATCTAAAAATATACCACTTAATACCGTAAGAATTTAATTTTATGAGTTGTTATAATTAAAAGGGTTTTAATTATACTATACACACTGCATTTTCTGAATTGATAAAAAAAAAAAATCCTTAGTATACCCATTTTATTCCAGAGGATTCCTCTGAATTGGTCCCAAACAATTTCAACAGTCCTTGAGATGCTGTGGGTACCTCATCTGTGCAAAAGTTCACAGGCTGATTGTTGAGAGGAGAAGCAGGACTGTCTGCAGGAGGACTGTTAGGAGACATTTCCTAAAAAAGAAATGTACAACTCAAAACCTGTGGAAATACAAGCAAGTTCAACAGCAGTCTGAAAGCTACTTGGACTTCTAGTGCAATCAATAATGTTCTAGGAAGACATCCATTATGGCTACAATACATTATTGATGCATTTCCATTAATGCCTTCGCCCTCATTTAAATCATCTAAGATATTCATAGATTATGGAATAAGATCATCATGTATATTACAGAGCAACAATTCTTTATTCATGATATATGTACCCATTAGGAAGCCATGGTTAACCCTGGAACTCCTACAAAATATAGTAACATAAAGCTCATATTTGCAATGTGTTTGTAATTACATGTGTACCTGACAAATGCAAGGTTTAAATCAACATCTAACAACCAGTGGGGGAAAAATAATTGATAGGCTTATTAATTCCCTGTCACTGTCATTCTAACGTAGAATAACAATTAATTATCAATCCAGTATTTTACATGGAAAATAATTATTTAAGAAACTGCTATCAGTAGGAAATTAATCTAAAATTTCAGCTAGCTTTTCTACTGCTAGCAAAAGTCTGCTGCTGTAGATGACCAGGCTGAGCCCGAGGGAGGGGACAAACACATCATCAGTCATGAGTCCCTTTGCGCCCACAAGAGATTTAAGTCCAGCCCATTTTTATTTTCTTTCTATTCTTAACTCTCGCTAATTTCTCTTGACTGTTAGTAGTTCAGGTTCTTACAAAGAGCTTAAGCTTACAATAAAGCTTTATACATATTTGAACTGCCTGGATGTTCTGATTTTCCTGGTGCTGATAGCTGCTTTGCTTTCTTTCATAATTAATAAACAGCAACACTTCTGAGATATTGGATAGTAAGGGACGCTTCACTAACATATGGCTACCTTGCTTCCTCTCAAGACTTGTCACAGCTATTAGTTATCTGCACATGTAAGTATATATGCATAGGTAATACTGCTGATAAAGCAAAGTGGTCATTCCTTTGAATGCTTTGTAGAATGCATTGAACAGGCTCAGGGCACGTAGTGTGTGATTCTGGATAAATAAAAGTGAGCTGAGAGTAGCAACCTCCAACTTAAATAGCAGCGATGTATAAGTAACATATTCCTCCCATAGGCAGGTTATCCTATATGAGACCATATTATGTGCAAATAGATTAATGTGTTCATCCAAGCAATCCAATATTGTTAAGATATTAAAATTTAGTAGCTGGAGCAGTGGGGTTGTGCAGTGAGACAGAACATACAGTTGTGGTTAATTGGTTGGAGAATGATGGCTGCATGAGGCAATCTGTGCTGTGATTGGTTACTGTGGGTGTGGAGATTTTCTCTTTTTTTTCCTGTGTGCTCTGTAATTTACCTTATGATGCTCCTGTTTGCCTGACTATCTAGTTTGTTGTATATATTGATATAAAATGTATTTATCTGTATAAAACTATAAATTCATGTCAGCATCTCTGATTTCATTTGTACACCAGCTGCACAATTCCCTGACAAATATTATTTATTCTGTCAGGTATCATTGAGGTCTCAAACTGATAGATCCCAGTTGCACCCTCACTCTTTTAATGAGAGATACTAGCACTAAACTAGAGTCCCTCTGCTCTGGTTTATGTGGCCACCCAAGCAGTTAAATAAGTACCCCATCCACCTTTCATTGATGTTTCTTTTTATTCAAGGTTTATTTATTAAGCATTATTGGCTTTTCAATGTTAAAAAAATAATTTCAGATTGGTACCACAACATTGGAAGCTCACTAATGATCAAAAACTTGGCTGCAGAAGGATGAACAGAATGGCCAAAGCAAGCTGGGAAAAACGAAATGGTAAATGAATGAAAAATTTTTGCAAGGCAGCCACTTGAGACAGCAGAAGAAATCCAGATATGAAGGCGTCCTTGACTTCGGATCATGACAAACAGATCTAAACAGGATTAGAAATCCTTTCTCTAAATAGCCAGTCAGTGCCTTAGTGACAGTCAAACCTGATCCACTGTTCACAAATTCACAGATAAAATTAAGGCAATTCTAAATACAACATCAAGGGAGCAATGGAATGGAATGTCAATCAGAATGAAATGACTACATATGCTCTAATCTTGAGCTACTTCCCTCCCCCAGCTACTTTAGATAGAGATCTCAGTGGTTTTCCTTCTTGTTCTGGGAACTCAAGTCAATGCTATCTAATCAGTTCGAAGGCCTTGTCAAGAATAGAAATAACAGTCAACTGCCAGAATTTTATAAATATTTATAGAAGATCGTTTCAAGGCTCATTGCTGGCACTGTACCTCAGGGGCATGGTCACCAATACTCTTCTTTTGCCCTATGTCACTGCATGTTTGCTTTGAAGGAGTCCTCTGTAGGAAGTCAGAAATTCTCTGTACCAGGAAGTCTCGGTCCTTCAGGTTGGCAAAGAGGAAGGTCATTTTGCTTCGAGTGCTGATAGAAAGTGGGCTAGGCAAAATGCTGGAGCTGTCAGCTTTCTCAACAATTGTAACCTACATAGAGGGATAAATGGGGTATATCAAGGTATGGATCTTGTTTCTGTCACCCCAGAGAATTACTTATTTAACCAATGGACTAATATACTGAAGTTCAAAACCAAAATCCTACTATCTTCAAGGAAATCCTTCAAAATTATACCAGTAACTAATTATCAAAAACAACTTCTCACCTCCCTAAGTGGTATTATGAGATGACATGCCTCTTCTGCCTTGCTAGCAAAACAGATATAGTTATTGGACACAAACATCTGACCGAGAATGTGGATTTTATTGAATGGGGTCCACAAAGTGCAGTCTGTGTGCCCATCAAGTCGTTCATCCTTGGGCAATCGAAAAGTAGCACGGTACCATTCATTTTTGGCTCTGGCATCCAGATCCCTAAAGAAAATGAAATATATATGTTCACATGCTGATAGGATTACTGAGAAATCCATTAGAATTGTCTTTTTCTAACATGTCCTGTTCAGATGTGTTGGACTTTACCTTCAATCATGCGCAATCCTTTTTCAATATAGTTTCAAATTAAGAACAGAGGTATTGTCATATTGGACCAATAATTGCCAAAAATCCCTAGTACAGATCCAGGTAGTCCTCAACTTACAACTGGTTGTATAATGACCACTTGCAGTTACAATGGCCTCAGAACAGGTGCTTTTTGGCCATTGTAAAATGTCATGCCAGACTCCCCCCGTCACAGGACATTTCAGATGCTTGGTAACCAGTTTGCATTTATGACTAGATGCCAAATGCCCTGCGACCATGTGATCACTATTTGCAATCTTCACTCCCTGCCCCACCATGCCTGGGAGCCTTAATGACCCATGTAGTTGCTTAATGACCGGAACTGGGAGAGCCAGAATTGCAATCATTGAGAGAAATGGTCGTGTGGCATCTCACTTAACAACCACTTCACTCAATGACCAAGATTTTCAGGCATTATTGTAATCGTAAATGTAGGACTACCTGTACATGCTTTTCAGTATAAGTATGGAACTATAATAAAAAATATCCTTTAAAGAAAGAACAATAGCACTGTGAAGATAATGTGTCAATGGAAAGATCTGGCTAATATTATAGGACATTTGGTCAGAGAAAGAAAAAGGGCACTGCTTAGGGCAACATAAATATTTAGATGCGATAAAAAAAGAAATAAGAATAGTTCAATATATAGGGTATAAGTTGGCCTAATAACAGAAGTCACTACATTCTGGGAGAGTAGTCATCTGGAAGGACAACCATTTTTGTTTTCCACAGAATTTGTCTTTATAAATTCAAGAGCATATAGCCTGTTCTGTCAATTTTTCCTTTTAGGTTGAATTGTCTTTCTTTGGGGTAAATGCATTAGCTGCAGCATGATTAGACACAGCTACTTTTTCCAGGACTCAACTCAGAGAAAACTAGTTTTGCAAGTTGGCAACAAGAAGCTGTATGTAATACTGCCTAAATAAATGAAAGATTAATCTTTCTCTGGCCCCAGAAAATCTCAAGTAGAAAAACAAATTAAAAATTATCCAAAAAAACTGTAATTATCTTGGCATGTATATATGAGAGTCAGACTCTTAAAAGTTGTGAAGTCCTAGCTTTTCTCTCAGGCATTAGTGCCAGATTATTAATGGAGCCTGAAATGTGCGTTTTAGTATTGTGACCTATTTCTGTGGTGACTTGATTACTATTACTATTACTATTACTATTATTGTTATTGTTATGGTTATGGTTATTGTAATTATTTTTGTTTAATTTAGATTAGCTTTATAACATTAGTCTGTTGCATTATCTGTTTGCTGGCCAGTTACTTGTTTAAGATGGTCAGCTATGTAAATTATCTAAATAAAGAGAACTGGAAAAAAACCCAGTGGCTTAATTATGGAGGTTCCATATGGGGATTTCCACCCATGACTCCATAGTTAGAAATATAAAAAAATTTAGTTGGAACAACAGAAAGAGCAATCCTATTTTCTAGAAATCAATTCCATATCTACAACAAAATCAAAGATTTTATTCAAAAATTCTTGGATTACATAAACAATAAATTTTGGGGATACAAATAGGCTGTATGGGAAGAAGAAAAATGCAAATTCGAATATCATCTACAAGTTTCTTATCTCCATTTTTTCTGGCAGCTCTAGGAAAAATACAAATCAAGCATATTTTTATGAGAGACATTGGGAAGAAAATGCAGAAAGTTCAGAGCTAGTTTGTACTTGAGATTTCAGTCAGACTCGTGTTCCTGCAATTCAGATCAAGAATGGCCCTGAAATAGTTGGGCAGATTAGAAAGAACCTCCTTGGATTATTATCTGGTTGCATATTTTCAATTTTTTTTCATTTGTAAACATGAAAATTATTTTTTGCAAGTCATACTAAAAAGCACAAAACAGAAGATATCCCATAGAAAAACAGGCAAAAAACAAATGATAAACACATACACATGTACTACCTAATGCCTGGCTTCCCAGTCTTATCAATTTAGCATCAATCACCACAGCTGAAATCAATGCTAGATATGTTTTCTTCCTCAATAAATGTGCCTACACCTTTTATGTGTGTATGAATATATGCATCTGTGTACATATGCACACTAATCCCAAGTACACCCCATAAGAAACGAAATGTCAGGAAAAAAAACATGTTCACACTATAGAAGAAGGCAAGCTATTCAGTTATAAAGAGAGTTACAATTCACCAGGATGGTGAAAGGCATTCTCTCTGTACAAAGGAAATAATTGGTTTCTTTCTTTTGGGAAAACAGTTTGTTTTTGTTCTTAGTTATGGAAACATTTGAGGCTGTTTCTATTTGGACTGAAGCCAATCAGAGAGTGGCCTACACCTTGTCTAAAGGTGTCCTAAAATCTTTGAAGACAAACAAACATACATGCTTACCTCTTGAGTGCTGAGATATTCTTGAGTGGCTTGCTGGGTTTGGGAAGCAGCATGTCCTCCGTGAAACTTTTATTATCAAATAGTTGACGCATGGCAATGTTAGCCAACTGTTCCATTAATTTGAAGGTTTCATTGATGTTGAGGAACATAGAAAAGTAGAGTTCACTGTCTCTGGTACTCACTTTGATGCACTCAGGAAACAGAAGGGTAGCATTCTTCTCTAGCTGTGTTATATCTACCCACTGCACTATAAGGGTCACTGCGGAAACAAATAAACCCAATTCATCAATTACTCTCACAGAGAATTACATGGGAAATATTTTAAAATAATTTACAGATGTTTTAGCAATATTAATGTGAAATAGCCAACTGCCCATTGCTGAACTCTAATAAAGCAATAAGATCAAAAAGATGCATATTTCAGATCCACTCCACTCTATTGGAGAGATATGGGAATTGTGCAATTTACTGTTAGAGCAGTGTGAGTGTTAGTTGCAGTCCCCTAATCAAAAAGCAGGTTGAAAGAGGCAATGCTATCAGATTTAATAAATGTTTGAAACATTAAACAATAAGAGACACCTCATTGACAGGTTACCTTCTTTGCCCAAAAGGAAGGAATAGAAGCAAAGGTGATTAACAGTGAGATACAGCCAGCCCTGTCTTGGGACGCGCCCTTTCCAATAACTGCAAGAGTAGTAATTGACAAGTTTCTCTACTTCAGGCATTCCAAACTGCTTCCGCATCTTCAGTTCTGCTTCCTTAAATTTGCCAGGATCTTCTTCCCCCTGTGGCTGTCGATTCTTATTCTCTTCAGCAATAATTCCCTGAAGGAAAAAGTGACAAGTAAAAATGGATGCTTTTTCATTTGTTGCACTAATTAACCGTTAAACACAAATATTCCTCTGGAAATTGCACTTCTATGTGTGCATGCACAATTTCCCAATGGTCAAAACTCCATATTCAATGCTCCAAAAACTATGTTAGCATATTGATGATTGTTAATAACATTATTGTGGCTTCAGACTGTTTATCCACCTGCCTGAATCATATATGAATTACATATATTTCTGTTATATGTCCCATAGATTGTACAGAAACATCTGAAATGCTTCCCTAACTATAAAGAAAGCAGTGCAGGAAGTAAGGGAGCACAAAAGAAGATAACATTTACTGTTATAACATTTACTTTTTTCTGTGAACACACTGGCACACATTAAAAAATGAAATTCTGTTGCCTGCTCTCAAAAGAATCAATCTATTTATCTATCTATCTATCCATCCATCCATCCATCCATCCATCCATCCATCCATCCATCCACCCACCCACCCACCCATCCAGACATATACAGTTGTGCTCATAAGTTTACATACCCTGGCAGAATTTATGATTTCTTGGCCATTTTTCAGAGAATATGAATGATAACATGAAAATTTTTCTGTTACTCATGGTTAGTGTTTGGCTGAAGCCATTTATTATCAATCAACTATGTTTACTCATTTTCAATCATAATACAACAGAAACTACCCAAATGACCCTGATCACAAGTTTATATACCCCAGTTCTTAATACGGTGTATTGCCGCCTTTAACATCAATAACAGCTTGAAGTCTTTTGTGGTATGTGTGGATGAGGCTCTTTATCTTCTCAGATGGTAAAGCTGCCCATTCTTCCTGGCAAAAAGCCTCCAGGTCCTGTAAATTCTTGGGCTGTCTTGCATGAACTGCACGTTTGAGATCTCCCCAGAGTGGCTAAATGATATTGAGGTCAGGAGACTGAGATGGCCACTCCAGAATCTTCACTTTATTCTGCTGTAGCCAATGACAGTTCAACTTGGCCTTGTGTTTAGGATCATTGCCATGTTGGAATGTCCAAGTACGTCCCATGTGCAGCTTCCAGGCTGATGAATGCGAATTGTCCTCCAGTATCTTTTGATAACATACTGCATTCATTTCTGACCAAATTTCCTGTGCCTTTGTAGCTCACACATCCCCAAAACCTCAGCAATCCACCTCCGTGTTTTACAGTAGGAATGGTGTACTTTTCATCATAGGCCTTGTTGATTCCTCTCCAAATGTAGCTTTTATGATTGTGGCCAAAAAGTTCAATTTTGGTCTCATCACTCCAAATGACTTTGTGCCAGAAGGTTTGAGGCTTGTCTCTGTGCTATTTGGTGTATTGCAAGTGGGATACTTTGTGGCATTTGCATAGTAATAGCTTTCTTCTGGCGACTTGACCATGCAGCCCATCTTTCTTCAAGTGCTTCCCTATTGTACATCTTGCAACAGCCACACCACATGTTTTTAGAGAATCCTGTATTTCACCTGAAGTTATTTGTGGGTTTTTCTTTGCATCCCGAACAATTTTCCAGCAGTTGTGGCTGAAAGTTTAGTTGGTCTACCTGACCGTGGTTTGGTTTCAACAGAACCACTCATTTTCCACTTCTTGATTAGAGTTTGAACACTGCTGATTGGCATTCTCAATTCCTTGGATATCTTTATATCCCTTTCCTGTTTTATACAGTTCAACTACCTTTTCCCACAGATCCTTTGACAATTATTTTGCTTTCCCCATAACTCAGAATCCAGAAATGTCAGTGCAGCACTGGATGAAGGTTGCAATGGTCTGTCAGAAGGCCAGAAACTCATTGACCTTTTATATATGCACACTAATTACATGCAAACAGATCACAGATGAGGATGGTTACCTTTAATAGCCATTCACACATCTTTGTGTCAACCTGTGTGCATGTTATCAGGCCACAATCACCAGGGTATGTAAATTTTTGATCAGGGTCATTTGGGTAGTTTCTGTTGTCATTATAATTGAAAAAGAATAAACACAGTTGATTGATAATAAATGGCTTCAGCCAAACACTAACCATGAGTGAAAGGAAGGTTTTTGTGTTATCATTCATATTCTCTGAAAAATGGCCAGGAAATCATAAATTCTGCCAGGCTATGTAAACTTATGAGCACAACTGTATATACACATATACATACATACATATACATACATACATACATATTTATATAACAGAACGATTTTCTCCATTCCCAAGTACCCCATAGGCGACCAAACACTTTTCGCCTGGACAGAGAAATGACAGAGACTCAAAGCTTCGTGTGCCTGCAAAGGGAACTGTTTGAAATGGAGCGATTAGCTGTTTCAAAGCGCCCCCTTTGCAAGCAGACAAAGCTTCATCTCTCTCTGGGCGAAAAGTGTTTGGGCAGCTACCACCAGGTCCACCCTCTTTGTCCCACTGTCTGACTGACTGCAGCCTCAATCGGGGCAAAGGTCTCGGCGTGCCCCAGCCTCCACCCGCCCTGCCAGGAGGGCGAAGTGCCCCCGTGAAGCCAGCAACAGCATGGGCAGTCGTTTGGTGGCCAGCATGGTGTCCGCTGCAGCTGAGAAGTGTCCCTGCAGCAGCTGGGCCAACAGGCAGGGTGGGTGGAGGCGGGGGCATGCTGAGAGCTTAATCCGTTGCAGCCATGGGCAAGCAGACAGTGGAATGGAGAGGGCGGGGCCAGCGGTAGGTCCTCTCCCACTCCTGTCAGGCCCACACTTGCTGCCTCCTGCACTTAAAAA